GACTTTTTAGATATATTTGTCTTATAGGGCGTAGTAGCGCTCCAGGGCATAGAGGCGTAGTGCCGAATCTTCTCCCTGTCGTCCGATAGAGCTGTTGAGATAGATGTAGTAATACGCTCTAGCTGTTTCCCTTGATTGCTAGTAATAGCATCCATAAGGGTATAGAAAGGCTCAAAATCCAACCCTTATACAACCCACGAAGCTGAAATTCAGTATGTGAGTACGATTGTGGGTACCAATAGAGATAAGTATGCGTGCGGTCAGCACTAGTATCAGTTCCGACACTTGATATTCCTTCCATCATGATCATATTCGCGAGACCCCAGAGTAGTAGCCTATGTCTGCCGCAGGGAGCACCTTGCCCATCATCATTCACGTCCGGCAAAATGCATCCAATGATTCAAGGTATGTAAAGATACGGAATCGGTGGAATAGAGCTATAAGCCTATGCTCAAAGGGACACGCCTATAAATCATGACAGTAGCCTCTACACATTCGACGACTAGCTTTCATTCAACCATCGGCATCCTCCAGAAAAACCCCCTCGTCAAATTATCGCTGCCGAGATCATGAAGTATCTCGCTACGATCATAGGTCTTGCCTTGGCATTCGCGCCAGGGACAATGGCACAAAGCAATGCGTGCTGCTTATCGACTCCATGGGACGGCTCGAGTAAGGCGTATTGCAGCGAAAAAGGCACACATGTAGCTTGCGTAAGACGATGATATCTGAGATACCCGCCAAGGACGCGATTACTGACGTCGATATGCAGTGCTCAACGAAACTCTTTCACAACTGCGATAATTGAGGCACTTTCAGAACAGCATGGCCCTCCGGACATTGGGGATTCCCGGACCCGAGGTATCCCTGTACAGGCGGTGGACAGGCTCGCTGCATAGGGACGCTGGAATGATTGAGTTTGTGATTGGAAAGGGTCGTTGGTGAGCTGAACGTGCATCATTGTTAATTGGGGAGGGTTGGATGCAGATGAGCTTAGCAGGTGCTCATGCTGGGGTGTGGTAATCATATGAGCAGGTGCAGTAGAGACGGACGCGGCTCCATTAGGGAGCTCTGCCAATGACGCCACGCCTCCGCTTCTCACAGTCAAATAGTCGACAAGGCACATTTCCTGATGACCTATTACATGTTCGCTGATACCAGCGTGGGTAAGAAGCGCACCCTAGTCTCCTCCAACTTTGCAAGCAAAGTTCTATCATCACCTTGGTTCATTAGCAATCTTTCCTGCAACTAGTGTATTAAAGTTATGCCAAACGACTAGACGAATAAAAACCTCAATCTAAATAGTGCTTCTTAATCCGTATAACGGAAGTGACAATTGCGGTGTCACGTGACATTGCGAAGATTTGCATCCTAGTAAGAACCTAGCCCGCATACTAGTGTAACGCGTTATCTTCTACGTTTTCCATATTTCTTCTCTATGATAGCTAAAAAGCTTGAGTCGAAATAGCAGTAGTCTCAATGACAAAAAATGCATTGCTTTTGATCGTGGTGCAGAAACCTCATGACACATCAACGCATCGTAATACATCTTTGCATCGCCACGACAAACGTCTTTTTTTTGGAAGAAGTCATGTATACATTGAAGAGCGAGTCGTCCATACCCAATTTGTTTCCTAGCTTTCGGTTTTATCCAGCCGGTGGGAGGAAAAGAAGCTTCGCAGCCACAGCGCACCCCACTCATACTCGTCTCCATCTCCAGGTGGCGGATATCCGCATGTCGCTCGAAAGGACGCACTCACAAGGGAGAGAGGTATTGCTGTAGTACTGACATGTGGAGAAAGATCGAAGAACGATCGTTAGTCAGTCACGTGTCACTGGGGCTCGTAATCTGGGCTGACGCATTCTGTATTTAGAGTTTGCAGGGGGCGCCTTGTAAGCTGCGAGGCTTACGTACCATTCATATTCAGACGTCCAACGTCGCTTTTCTTGAATGAGCGCATTTGAAAGTCTAGTAATACAGATATGGCAAGACTTTGCCTTGCCATTAATGCGTTACAGGGCCTCATGCAGGGCTTTCTAGCACGTAGATATCTTACCACAACTGCTGTGTTACGATGCGACGCATGCATGTGATTGGATGCAGACTTGATAACATGTACTCTTTCATTCAATCAATTCATTCCTTAATATATACACAAAAAAATGGTTTATATACAATCCAAGCAGCGGAAGCGCTTTAAGCCTCCCATCGCTTCTCGGTCGCCTTCTTTGTCGAGAAAGTCGAGCCAATCTCGCCCCACTTGATCTTGCTGAAAGTCACAGTCGGGTTCTTAACCTTCTTGACAATCTCAGCTGGAAAGCCCTCGGTGGCGTTGCATGGGCCCGAGGCACCGCTGTCGAGCCACTGCATGGCGCCGCCCTCGTCCCACCAGATGCTCATGGCGAGCACCATGCCGCGGGACATGGCATCACCCATGACCTTGTGGCCTCCGAGCTGGTTGTACATTTCCGCGCCGCCCTGTGCAGAGCAGTATGCCTGGTCCATGGTGATGTTCTTGACGGCGTTGTCCATGACGACGCCATCTTGGATGTATTTGCGCACGATGGCTTGAAGCACGCCGTTCTTAGCAGGGAACTGCGTAACAACAGTGAAGGGGCGGTTCGTGTCGACCTTGAGGCCTAGGCCATAGTAGGTCTTGTCGCCGCGGGTCTTGTACGGGTTATCGACGCAGCCGTTCTTATCGCAGAGACCTGTCTTGCCGCACTCGTCGCCGGTGCAGGCAAAGATGCTTGGCTTGCCGCATGTGTGCGGTGCGATCGAGGTGGAGCGGCTGTTGGCCTCCCAGATGTCCATTTCATTGCAGCAGACACCTTGCTTTGCGACGTTTCCCTGTGGAGCGTTAGCATGATTGATGAGAAATACAGGTATTTGCATCATTGATGGTCTTGTGGGGTCGAAAACCCTAGGTGGTCGGACGGGGAAGAGGCTGTACTTACTTCGCCGTTGATCCATGGGGTCACGAAGCACTGCGCGTCACAGTAGCCCGTACCGTAGGCAGCACCCTTGGGGTTGAGCTTAGAGCGACCGCCGTCGGCCCTCATCTCGCTAAGGTAAAGGGCACCGTTCATGCCACAGGGCAACTTGGACATGTCAACGTCAAAGGTAAGCTCGTTACCAGTGAGCTGGAGCATCTCGTAGTTCTTCTCGTCTTTAGATAGGAGGTAGACCCTAGGGCTGACAAAGTTGCCAGCAGGGTTGTACATGTCCATGCGGAGGTCGGCGCCCTTGGTGAAGACGCCTACAGTCGAATAGTCGGAGATGCCCTCGATAATGCAGTTCTTGGCGCAAGCCTCCTTTGTAGGGCACGCTGTGGGGTCGGGGCCGTCACCCCAGGATCCACAGCCCAGGGTGGAGTTGTTCTTCTGGTGGATGGGGTGGGCGGCGGAGTCTGTGACAATGGCAGTGTTCTGCGCCTTGCATCCTCCACGCTTGGTGCACTTCCATGTGGTGAGCTTGGGGTGCACTTCAGGAGTGGTTCCTGGGGTTTGGGCCACTGTGAAACCCAAAAGGGCTGCTGCGAGAAGTGCATAACGTGCCATTGTGGGCTAATTGAGGAGGAGTTGATGCTGTTGAAGGAGTGGTGGGTGGCAGACTGTTCAGTTGGAAGTTCTACTCTACTTATACTGTACTTGTGGACAAAGACCCGGCACGGAATTGCTTCCTGTGATGGGCTGTACCCTTCTCATCTAAACTAGCCAATGCCTCGATTGGCTCAACGCCTTATCTAGATTGGCCTCGTGATGTCCATCATTTCGAAGTATCGTCCTTAAGGCATAGAGGCTCTTGGTGGCGCTCAGAGAAGAATCATGGAAGCTATTCCAATCTATTCTGCCAGCTTTTACTTGGTGGAATATATTACTTAAATTTGGTTGTGGGGCCCCGCAGGACAGTGACTATACCGATACGGTACGTTTACCCGGTTTGGTATCCTATGGTGGCGCTTGGCCGAAAGAGGACATAGTTCATGCTGCACCCCTGAGAGAGGCTCAAATGCGCTTGGATACTCTAGGCTGGTGAACAGCCTACTGGAATAAGGGGCTTTCAATGTCGATTTGGTGAGGCTCTGTTGGAGAGTGTGGTGCAACGATGAACAGCGACTGATAGAGGCACCGGTAGAACATGACAGCCACACAGGACGCCACCACCGACGACTAGACAAAGACCGATTAGTTTCCGTCTTCTGCAACGCGGAGTAGCGAGTAAGGGCCTTGGCTCCGGCTCCTGGGGCTTAATTTCCGTGTTCTCTGGCGTCCGATGCACGCTCAAGATCAGGCCCAGAGACCGCATCAACGGCCCGTCATTGCAGGCCAAGGCTGCGGTCTTCGTCCAGTTTCAGTCTAAGCGAGGCAAAACGCATACTTTGCAGGAAACCGACCAGACACCTAGAGGATCCTCTCCGAAGTTTAGCCGGCTTAGTCGTTCACAATCCTGTAGTACAGAGTTACAGCGGGCGTTGCGGTCACACTTAGGTACACCTATTGCTGGGTGACGTTGATGTCGTGTGTCGTGTCAGAAGATGCGACGATGCGCGCATCCATGGCTTGTGATAGTGGAGCACCAGCAGAGTCCAAAGCAGGTACATAGTAGTAGTAATGTCCACGTGAGCAAAGCAGGGTCCCGCTGCAAAACTGACTAGTAGGCGAGTTCCGGCGAGGCGCGTAAACCACATGTCCGCGCCTGCGCCTGTCGAGCAATGTGATGTGCTGTGGTGTGTATCGTTTCATTCAAACTATCAACCATCAGGCATTACCTGCAGGGGCATCGGCCCTCAATACATGCATGTCCTCGTCACCATTGTGACTTTTGTATCCTGTACCACTCCTAACACACTTCCTCGAGCCATTGCATCGGCTACTTAGTGCGTGACAGATCCTTCCCTTTTACTTTGTTAGCATATGCAATTCGATTTGCATTTTATCTAGGGGTAAACTTACACTCGGCCTGGAGGTCGCAGAAGGAATGTTTTGCGCGGAGGCTGTAGGAGGAGGCTTGGGCGCGGAGACTGCGGGAGGACGGTGTCGAGCGTAGGTCGGGTCGACCATCGACCATGGCCTCAGATGAGGCGGTTTATACTACAAAAATAGTTAGCAAGCTGCATGTGTTTGCTTTTGCTAAAGGATGCTACCTTCTTAGTACTAGGCAACGGCTCTTTGACGGGCTGGATCTGGACATGGCTCGCGCGATTGGCAGCAGCATCCTCATCACCACTGTCCATGTCGACGTCGTCTTCCTTGATTTCCATCTCCTGAATCATCGCCTGGGTGTCTGCAACCTGGTCGTCATTCACATGCACGATGCTTTCGTCATCGTCCTCTAGGCCGTCGTCCTCTTCTTCCTCGTCCCCTAGTGCTTCCGCTAGCTGATCAAGCGACATGCGGATCTCAGTCATCAACTCATCCAGATCGCCGTCTTGACCTCCGGGATACCAACGTCGAATCGATTTCCATAATGCCTCAGCTTCTCACCAACAGTCACTCGCGTCGTACCAGTCCTCAAGTGCTGAGGTTAGCAGCAAAAGCGTCTTGATCCGATGGTAACGAGGGATGGCAGGGTCTTCGAGCAGCTCACGAGCTTTTGCGACACACTCATCCAGGCGATTGTCGTCATGCAGCACTTTGGCATTGTTGAAATCTTCGCTGAATCGAAGATGATGCTGGGGTCTTTCCTAGCAGAGGATGATCCAAGACGTTACCAGGAGCGCTATGGCCCTTATAACAATCAGCGAATCTGGCTCAGACCCCGTCGACAGCGCCCTAAGCTCGCCATGGAGCTCAGTCAGGCAGTCACGGACAACCTAGAGGGCGACATACTTTCCTTCCTCCGCCTAACTACCGAGGTTGATGATAAAGCTTGTCTTGCTTTCATCATGGAGGCGTCGTTGCGAGCACTCGCGCAAGGACAGAACCTACTCAATACGATATTTGCGGCATTCTTGACAGCCCAGTGCATTGAAAGTGGCCAGCTTACTAAACGAGACATACTTGACAACTACTGCACTTGCCCGGACACATTTACACGTGCCAATACGGATCACTATTGTATGTCGTGTTTCACCATCTGTCCATGTTCGCAGATGGGCGAACGTATCACAGATGATGGTAATCTTCTTGTATGCCAACAATGTCTTGAGCTCTCCAAATTGCAGCAAGTGCATCAACCGTACGATGTCCTGAAGCTCATTGGTAACCGTGTTGAAGCGCAACATCGGTATGAAGTCAAGGCCGGCGCGAAGCCTGCTTGGGATATAGCTGAGATGTCCAAAATGCTGTCGACAAGATATAGTCCCTTACCAAACGAGTGGATTGACGGTTACTCTGGCACTACCATGTCTCTCAAGGCGACCATCTATCACCCAGAGTCGAATATGTACCGAAGCAAATCGTCACACCATCCATACATCCTATCAGTCGAGAAGCCACACAATATGTGCTTGGATGCGAAGGGCAAGATTGCATTGCATTATTATGACAATGATATTCTCACAAAGGACTGCATCAACCGCGTGAAGGGGGTGTTTGGTCCCTCTTTGCTTCCACTGCTAAAAATGTCGCTACGACTTAAGAAGGCAGTTGAAGACCAACCACCCTGCCGAGGCTATCATCAGGCTATTGAGAGCGATTAGAATGTTCTTGAACGGGTATGTCATTCCCTCATGAGTTTGTCGCACCATCTTGCTCACCAAGACAGGCATTTCATCTTCAAAGGATAATTGCATCCAACGTTTCTCCGACTAAAGGTCAGCGAGTTAAGTCAAGGATGACTCCCGGTTTGGTCAGAAGCATAATGGAGAGAGCAAGAGCGGAATATGGGATGTGAGACTCTTACCTGATAACCGTTCCGGAAGGTTCCTCTTCTCTTTCAGGAGCTATCCAATACCGGACACTGACTCACCGTGGACTGACAACGAGTGGAATATCATACTCGATGACATTCGTCAAATCGAGAATGACAGAGGCTCAGGGAGCATGAATCAACATAAGCTTATGTTGCCGCGCATGGGCAAGGATGGGATTCCCTGGCCATGGCCAGAAATCACTTGTCCCAAAGATGTTGACAGGTTTCTTGTATACCAGGAATTTCATGGACGCCTTAGGACAATGACGGAGATGTGCAACAAGCACCACACAACGGACGATTCACCAGCAACGTTATTCCTTGAGTACATTGTGCAGTGGTTCGAAACTGGTGGCAAGTGCCATTTCTTTGGGTTTTCCATGACAGCTTTCCGCGGACACCCAACCAACTTCTCCTTTGGTCGTGGTTTGGTACAACACATGAAAGATGCCACTTCGCGCAACATCCAAGCCGGAGAGCCTATGCAAACAGGCTTCATGAGCCTGCTGCCGAAAAACATGGCCACTGAGTGTGATGTCTCGCGGCGCACAGTCATCTTTGAGTCTTGGAGGGCCAACATCTTGCGACACCACTACCCTTCCAGTCCCGCCTTCACGAAGATACTGGAGGATGCTTTCCTGGATCTACAAGACGAGAACGACTGGTACGGGCCAATGGGTAAGCTGGACGACTATGCGTACGTCCCAATGCCCATGAGTTACAGGAGGAGGACCCGGTGGTTTGATGCCTTCAAATCTGGCGAGGACGAGGTTGAAGACTGGAGTGACGAGGACTTCGATGACGGGGTTGGCTCTAATGGGTATGAGGAGGACGATGAAGAGATTAACGTTCTCGCGGAGCATGAGGCCGAAGTCCAGGCCGTTCAGAACTCTGGAGACTTGGAGGAAGAACCTGAAGGCCAACAGCCACGAGAGACGATCCTGGAGACTCGGGATGAGATCAATTCCCAGTACTCGGAGGATTGAGAGACGGCGATGCAGAAGAGCGCTGCTGCTGATTCTTCCTCTCAGGAATCTGGAATAGTCTTCACACAGCAGCGGAACAAGAAGTATTCACAGTTGCAGAACAAGGAGAAGTATGCACAGGGGGTGATGTCAGGGAAATGGGAAGTCTACTCGGACATTTTCAGAACGAGACGTGAAATCCTTGGGGGCAAAGGAGAATTGCACCTGCAGGAGATGTGGGACTCATTAGTCGTGATGGATCAAGCCGGCTTTGATGAGGCTGAACGGATGTTTTGGCGCCTGTTGCCGGATGTGTTCTAGCTCGATGGTTAGGTACTGATGGTGAGGTTTTGATGGTCCAAGAGGAGATGGCGATAAAGATGTGTACGAATATAATCATGGAAATGGTAGAATGAAGCTTGGCTCGTCAAGTAGCATCAAAAAAAAGCGATTAATGATCAATCTCATTTCCCACCACAAGTTTACAACATAGAGATCACTGGCAATGGTACTCAAGAAGCTATACACGCGGTACCCCATGATAAGACACTTCACGATATCCCTTACTCAGGCTTGGGATCAATCAAAGATATGAAAGTAAGCTAAGTAAAAACCACTGATATGGCAATCTCTTGGTGGCGAGAGAGTTGGCGATCTGATCGGATAAGTTACGTAGACAGTCACATAGTCTTATTCATAACATCACGTGACTTGTCCCATCAGATCGTCGACTTTCTCACAACTACAGTAGGTTTACGCCTTGTAGGCTGCAAATCATACAATATTTTAATCAACTTAATTAATCTAGACCTCTGTAAATTTCATTGATTGATACTCTAGCTACTGCGGTTTTGCATTGATTGGATGGAACGAATTGATCAAGACTCAATCAAATGAATCAACGGATTGATTTATCCCAAGTCTGGCTGTACTTAGGCACGATCTGGCTTTGATCCATCGAATGGGTACTTGAGTACGCTGATAGTATTCGAGTACTGTGAGAGGTCGGGGTTGAGCTGGGCCTGCAAGGGTAGGGTTATCAGCATTGATTTCCATGTACATATAGAGTAACTTACCAGGTCTATTGGACAAATAGCTTCTTGAGCACCGTAACGGGTAATTTCTGCTTTGCCATCTTTTGTCTTGATTAAGACTTGTTGGGTACTTGCTTGGGAAGGATTTCTGGCCAAATAGTTGAACGGTTCGATAGTTATCGCAGAATGAGCCGTGGAGAACACAGTATTCGGTAGGTCCATAGTCGTTGGTGCGTGATGCATTCCTAAGTTTATCCAGAGTGTACTGTTATGATGTTAGAATATGGTGGTGTGGAAGAAATAGGGTGGTGTAGAAAAAGAAAATGAGAACTCACATGTCTTCCTGCACGAGGGACTCCCCGTTAAAGTACTTGTTGAAGTCCACCTGAGGATCATCAGGCGTAAGCGAGTTATATGCGCCGACTGCATAAATTTCGTTGTCCTTCTGTCTGGTAACGTAGAGGTGGTGGGTGGTGTGGTGCGCCGCGTTTTGGGTGACATCCGAATCCTCGACCGTAAGATAGGCAACACCGGCCGCTGATACGATTAGTAAGTGATATGACTTATTTCAGAGTGTTTTAGCGCACCTGGGACGATCCTGTAACCAGGAAATTCACCGAATTCATTCGGCGCGTCCTTGTTGACAACGGCGTATATTGTGCCACCGTTAGGCGACCAGTTGATTTTTCCATCATCTTCATTTTCAATGAAGCTTTTCGCAATTTTCATAGTCTTGTGCGTTCGGTTTGACCATTTGTACCTTTGCAAAAGTTAGTACAACTCGTTTGATGCTAAGTTTGTGAGGGGATTTATCATACGTCTCGGTGGTCGGCACGATAGCAGCCTTCATTAGTGAATTAGCTTCTCCCAAGATGTCGAAGTCAGCCTTAAATGTAATGACGTGGTCATGCAGGGATCCGGAGAGGCTATCATGAATCTTGAAACCATAGTCTTCGTTTTGGGCGTAGAATGCCGACGAGATATATCCCGAGGCCCGAACCCCGACTTCAATCGACCCATCAAGGGAGAATTGATACGTGGTCATGTAGTCGTAGTTGCCAATGGTGTAGACAGCGCGAACGTTGAACGCAATGTTCTTAGTAACAGTTGTATAACCAGCCCAGGAGTGACGCTGGATAGGAAATCCTTTGTCAATCTCGAACATGCCTTATTTCATTAGTTTTGTGATTCTCATTGCAGGCTTTGGAGCAGATCTCACATAGGGCGTCATTTTGCGTGTATGTAGTCTCTCCGGTAGTTTGAGACACATTAAGGTAATGGGAATAAGCTGGGCAATCGTAGCCTTGAGCAGTTTAGGTCAGCATTATGTTCAATGACTCATCAACAGTTTTGGTGTTCACCTTTGACAAGGGAGATCATTGGGGGTCCAAAGCCGCTCATACTGTCGAAGTAACTGAGATAAACCGGTTAGCAAAAGTACGTGCATCCCTAGAAACTTTGAAGCCATACCATGTGCCTGATTGTACTGGGTCGATTCCACTATTAATCAAGTCAACACGTTAGCATGTTGTGAAAGCATGTATTGCCGGTTCCTT